TGCAGAACAAATGGGTGTATAGAATCAAACAGGATCCCGATGGCAGCAAAAGATATAAAGCAAGGCTTGTAGTCAAAGGCTTTCAACAAAAGGAAGGTATTGACTTTCATGAAATTTTTTTCTACACTAGTTAAACTAACTACTATTAGAACTGTATTATTGATAGTGTCAGAAGAAGATTTGTTTCTGGAACAAATGGATGTAAAAACAGCTTTTCTTCACGGTGATTTGGAGGAAGAAATTTACATGAAGCAGCAACAGGGATTTACAGTACAAGGACAGGAGAAAATGGTTTGTAAACTTCAGAGAAGCCTGTATGGTCTCAAACAAGCTCCCAGACAGTGGTACAAGAAGTTTGACAGTTTTATGTGCAATAATGGATTTCAGAGGTGTTAGACAGATCATTGTTGCTACATAAAACTCATGGTAACTATTCTATTATTTTATTGCTATATGTTGATGATGTGTTAATAGCAGGACCAAACAAACATGAAATTCTAAAGATAAAGGTTGAATTATCTGGAGAATTTGATATGAAAGATTTGAGAGCTGCCAAACAAATCCTAGGGATGAGGATCGAGAGAAAAGATGGTACGTTAACATTGTCACAGGAAGAATATGTAAAAAAGGTGCTAAACATATTTTACATGGGAGATGCAAAACCTGTGAGTACTCCTTTAGCTTGTCATTTTAAATTATCTAAGGAGCACTCACCCACTACTGAGCAAGAAAGAGATTATATGGCTAGAATTCTGTACACTTTAGCTATAGGTAGCCTGATGTATGCCATGGTTTGCACAAGACCAGATATTGCACATGCAGTGGGAGTTGTTAGCAGGTATATGAATAATCCAGGGAAGCARCACTGGGAGGCTGTGAAGTGGATCTTCAGATACTTGAGAGGAACGACTGATTATGCTTTACATTTTAAAATGTCAGATTTTAAATTGCAGGGCTATGTTGATGCAGATATGGCAGGTGATATAGATGGTAGAAAAAGTACTACCGGATATGTATTTACTTTGGGTAATACTGTTATTAGTTGGGTCTCTAGATTGCAAAAGATAGTAGCACTTTCTACTACAGAAGCCGAGTATGTTGCAGTTACTGAGGCAAGTAAAGAGATGATATGGCTTCAGTCCTTTTTAGAAGAACTTGGCTTGAAATTGGGAAAAAGGACTTTGCATTGTGACAGTCAGAGTACTATTCATTTAGCAAGAATCTTGTATTTCATTCAAGAACGAAACATATACAGATAAGGTACCATTTTATCAGATCAGCTTTGGAAGATGGGGTGCTGGTGCTTGAAAAGATTCCAGGAAGTGAGAATCCAGCCGATATGTTTACCAAGGCTGTCTCTGTTGATAAATTGAAGTTGTGTGTAACTTTAGTTGGACTTCTCCACGAATAGAGAGGAGTCGCTAGCGTTGCAGAGGAGACGTGATACTTGTTTTTGTCTCCAAGTGGGAGATTGTTAAGAATGGAGCCAAAACAAATTGAAGAAATAATGGCTCATTGGGCCTAATCATGCCAAAGCCCAAAACATCACCAAATTGCTTCCTCAT